TTGATTTTGACACTTTCTATGTATTTGATCTTGTTCTTCAGCTAATATCCTTGTTTCTACTTCTAATATGTGGAGCTGGAAGGATCCGATTATGAAAGTCGAATACTTTGAATGGAAATGATTGTTGTTCTACTTCGATCTTTTTGTTCGCGGTTTTATTTATTAGCATACCTTTCTGTGTTTCCTAGTGATTGTATTGACTTTATTAGCTCTTATTTGTCTTTGTTTTGTTGATGTTTCGTTTTGTGCTGTAATGATCCGAAAGTGATACGATGGCTGTTGAAATACTGTGTTCGTTTTTTCTCCCTTCATTTGGACAATAATAGAGAAATATTATATATAGAATTAACGCTCCGTGAGTTTCGTTCAAAATTGCAGTTGTGGTCTTTTTAGCTTCTGTTTTTCATATTTTATGTTCTTCTGAATGCAACAGGTTCAGGTTGGCGGCTCTCCATTATATAAAGTAGAAAGAAAACTAGGAAAAGGAGGTTTTGGTCAGGTGTATGTGGGTCGACGCATGGGTCCCACGAGCTTGAATGAAAGATCTGGCTCTGGAGCTGTAGAGGTATGGTATCCTTATCTGTAATGTTTACTGATTACTCGTTTCACGTTACCAACTTCTCGTGTGATCTGTCCAAATTTCAGATAGCCTTAAAATTTGAGCATAGAAGTAGTAAAGGGTGCAACTATGGACCTCCCTATGAGTGGCAGGTTTACAAGTAATTCTCTTCACAGTTCTTGCTTGATATGTTTTAGTGTCGAATAGGTATGTTATATTACGTACATTTATACGTGTTCTAATCACTTCGCTCTTGGCTCTTCAGTGCACTAGGTGGTAGCCATGGTGTGCCAAGAGTTCATTACAAGGGTCGGCAAGGTGACTACTATGTCATGGTACGTTTTGTTTTGTTTACTTTTTAAGACGGTTAAAGCCTAAAAGGGCGTCAGAGATATGCATCATTATTTTAGTTGTGTTGTGAATGAATATACTTTGGATATAGGTTATGGACATGCTTGGACCTAGTCTTTGGGATGTCTGGAATAACAATGCTCACACGTAAGTTCGTAGTATAATTTTATCATTTGTGCAGATTTATTGCATGTTAATGTCTACTTCATTATTTGAATCTCAGGATGTCGATTGAAATGGTTGCATGCATCGCAATCGAGGCAATCTCCATATTAGAGAAGATGCATTCTAGAGGGTAAGGCCTTTATTCTGTATTCTTCTTATAGTGATGATCGATAAAAAAGGTTTGTGGTTCAACGTCGTGTGATTAGATTGCCATGGGAATCAAATAGGAAGAAACTCAATGTAGTCATTTTTGGATTGACATTTTAGGCCTCCTACGCCTTTTGGTTCATTTCCCACCCATAGCAGCTTCTGAAGCTTTGCTGCTAGGGCTTCCTTGTTTCTTATGGAGGGACGGGAAAGTTACATGGGTCCGAGGATGCTGTCGTAGTGAAGGAACATGTTAAGACTATATTGCAGATCTTGGTACCTTTGTTCAAACATCATGACAGTTATGATGTGTGATTTTTGCATCTACTACAGCTAAGCTGGACTGTTTTTACATAGTTAGCTTATTCACAGGCTCATGAATGATTTTGTTGTATTCTTGTAATTATATTTCTGCTCTCTAATGTCTCCGACAGGTACGTGCATGGTGACGTGAAGCCTGAAAACTTTTTGCTAGGCCCTCCTGGAACCCCAGAAGAGAAGAAGTTGTTTCTTGTAGATCTTGGTTTAGGTATTTCTCTCCCTCGGTTTTATTTATTTATTTACATTTTCCATCTAATGGAATATTATTGTTTATACATATGAAACACCTTACCATTTTATTGATTCACCTTATAGCAACGAAGTGGCGTGATAGTTCAACTGGTCAACATGTTGAGTATGATCAACGGCCAGACGTTTTCCGGTATGAAAGCTGTATATTTTATATGATAGTTGCATGCATCTATTTAACATTTAGAGACCCTTAAACAACTCTTTTTCACATCTTTTAGGGGAACAGTTCGGTATGCTAGTGTTCATGCGCATCTTGGCAGAACTGCTAGTCGGAGAGATGATTTGGAATCACTTGCTTACACTCTTGTTTTTCTTCTTCGTGGTCGGCTGCCTTGGCAAGGATATCAGGTCTGTTTCGTCTCAGGGATGATGGAGGTTAACTCTTCGTGCAAACAGAAGATATATTTAATCTGAATTGTAAGTATGTTTTTTTCTCCAGGGAGAAAATAAAGGATTCCTTGTGTCCAAGAAGAAGATGTCTACTTCCTCTGAAACATTGTGCTGTTTTTGCCCACAGCCTTTTAGGCAGTTTGTTGAATATGTTGTGAATTTGAAATTTGACGAAGAGCCGAACTATGCAAGATATATCTCCCTCTTTGATGGGATCGTCGGTCCAAATCCAGATATCCATCCAATTAACACGGATGGTGCACAGAAAGTACTCATGTTTCCTTGATTGCATTTATGTGTTTGACAATGGTACTTTTTGGTTGGAAACTTTGAACTTGAATATTATCTAAAACGTTATCTGTTATGTGAAGCTTATTTTTCAGGTTGGGCAGAAGAGAGGAAGGCTATCCATGGAGGATGAAGATGATGAACAACCAAAGAAGAAGGTTCGAATGGGGATGCCTGCAACTCAATGGATTAGTGTTTATAATGCCCGTAAACCAATGAAGCAAAGGTTTGCACTTGAATTTAAGATGAAGCTCATTTACAACGACGAGTTATTGATTAACTTATCCTGATGTAGATATCACTATAACGTTGCTGATATGAGGCTCTCTCAGCACATTGAGAAAGGAAATGAAGATGGTTTATTTATTAGTTGCGTTGCTTCATGTTCGAATCTTTGGGCCCTTATTATGGACGCTGGAACTGGATTTACTGCTCAAGTTTACGAACTCTCGCCATGCTTTCTTCACAAGGTTGGTTCCTTTTTCCATGAAGAAGAAAATAAATTATCTTGGATACTCGACATGTGAGATTAGACCTTCATGTTTGTTTCTCATTGGATCAATGGATTGTGAAAATGTAACGGCCTAGACCCACCGCTAGCAAATATTGTCCTCTTTGGGTTTTCTCTTTCAGGTTTCCCTTCAAGGGTTTAAAATGCGTCTGCTAAGGAAAGGTTTCCACACCCTTATAAAGGGTGTTTCATTCTTCTCCCCAACCAATGTGGGATTGTGGGATTTCACATAAAACTACTTTATTGCTTATCAACAGAGCATGTGCTATTGTTTGTTGAACAGCCGATAACGTTCACGTTTGTTTACTTAGGACTGGATCATGGAACAGTGGGAGAAAAACTATTACATCAGTGCGATAGCAGGAGCTAATAATGGGAGCTCATTGGTAGTAATGTCCAAAGGTTAGTCGTAATACAATATATTCTAAATGGCTACTAGAAAAGACGGTTGCATACTGTGCGTGTGGGTGCGTTGCTTCTTATACTTAAATATAACTTTCATGCAGGGACTCAGTACCTTCAGCAATCTTATAAAGTCAGCGATTCATTTCCCTTCAAGTGGATAAATAAGAAATGGAGGGAGGGATTTTATGTTACTGCCATGGCCACTGCCGGCAGTAGATGGGCAATTGTCATGTCACGCGGTGCAGGATTTTCTGACCAGGTATTAGGCTAATAGGTTTTCTATTGCATGACAATTGAAGCGATTCGACATTGGTTGACTTCTGATCACTTCACAGGTGGTGGAACTAGATTTCCTATATCCTAGTGAAGGTGTTCACCGCAGGTGGGATAGTGGTTACCGCATCACATCGACTGCTGCAACTTTGGACCAGGCTGCTCTTGTTTTGAGTGTGCCTAGGAGAAAGCCTACCGATGAAACGCAAGAAACGCTTCGGACATCTGCCTTTCCTAGTACACACGTCAAGGTTTGCCATGCAAACATACATTCGACTTTATAATTTTGCTTAATATTGTTAAATTCCTGAGGATTTTGGTTTCTGGTGTTTATGCAGGAGAAATGGGCAAAGAACCTTTATATTGCATCTATTTGCTATGGCCGAACTGTTTCATGAACTACTACCCCTAAGTCGATGCCACCTAGAGCCTGCAATTTTTAACCGATGGTGCTCCTCTCGGGCGGATATGAATTTTTAAGACAAACAATTGACTGTGGCTAATGGAGTTCGTGTAGCTTAACTGTTCATTACGTCGACATCGTGTAGCATCAGATACCGACACCTATGCTCTGGCTTTCATTCATGTTATTCAAGTATGAACTAAAGTTAGATCTTTCATGTTCCTGAGGTTTGGATGATTTTACCAATTTCTTAAAGGATTTGTATAGTCTTGAGAACTAGTTCTTGACTGAAGGCATGTGCACAACGTAGGCCATCGTGCAGTTACGATTATAAAGCATCCGTGGGCACTCGATATTCATATCCCTTTTACTTGTACTTAGATCCTTATGTCTTACCTTTTTGGAACTGAGGATATTAAATGTCTGAACCTGGAAGATATCAATTTTACACCTTTAAGCGATACTTTTTAGTCGATTTTCTATCTATATAATCATTAGTTAGCTGATGATTTATGGCTCGTGCCTATTCGTTATTTTTGTGGATATCTACTAGGGTTACTAATATTGTTTGTCAACATTGGGATGGCTGTCAATTACACCCGGTTCCCTTTTTCGGAACCAGAAGAACGGCTGCCATCGGGTTTCCGAGTGCCATCAGTAGCGACGGTGCAGTTCCTCGAACCATTCTACTCTACTTTACTTTTGTATTTTTCTTGAAGCTAAATACTTCGGCATAGACTTTGTGGTTATTAATCTTTGATGCCATTAGAGAATGGTTTCTTGAACTGAACATGGAGGCAATGAAGAACATTTTTTTGATTGTAGAGTTCCAGAGTGAAAGAATTGGATAATCTTTGTTACTCATTCTGTTTCCGTTATCGACTGCAGGTATCTGAATTATATATCAACAACTTCGTAATCTCCTGACTCGTCTTGGATCGATACTGGATTTCAAGAAATACTCAACCGTCATCTGTTCACATACACCGTGCACTTCAGATTTTTCAGCTCAAAGGTACATTGATGTTTTACTGAGATGTTAACTTCATTTTCCTGCATAGTTTGTCATCTTGGCGATGATTCTTTGACGTATGATCGGTTTCTTCGACAGTTACGATACATATTAACATCTTATAACTCAACATATGACTGTTTCATTATGGGGTTTGATTTCTGATTGATGAGAATCTTAGGCAGATGAAAATCAATGGTTGCTGTTTCGTAATACCTCGATTACATCTCGATTACCGCCATTTATAGCGTAAAGTTTATTGTCATAGCAATCTTTTCCTAGTAAAATAACCCATGCCTGCAAAATTGTTCTTTTAAAGTTCGATAAAAGCCCTCCGAAAACGATCATGAAAGTTGTTAGATCTTTTAAAATCTCGATCTGGGCTGATGATAAACATAGAACACCACATGTGCCTTTTTGTTCTACATGAAAATTACGCACCATTTCTGATGTTTAACGATGAACACGACCACGTGTTCTTAATCGTTAAGATTCATCTGATTCCCCCTAGTTTCCAGTTTTGATCTCTACATTGTTTGCATAGATCTTGGTTGATGATCATAAATTGTTTTGAGATATGAACTGCACCTAACAGGATCTTGAATGGGTAGAGATTTGAATCAAGAATCTGTTCTTTTTGCAGCCGAGGGCGCTGGTAATTTGGTTATTGCGTGCCTTGTAGCCCACCGTCATTACTAACCAAGCAAGCCAAGCCTATGAATTCTCCGCACACTTTCCCTCTCTCCGCCACCAAACTTACCCCTCTCGTTTCCCTCAAAGCTACACAAAGAATCGTGTGGTTTACCTTCCCTTATATATGTATGTGGTACGTGGAATTGCCTTTCAAATTCTCATGGAGTCTGTTGCTTCGACTTCATCCGCACCGGACCGCCCCCGTCCTCGTCTTCCTTGGTTCGAGCCCTCCCAAGCTATGACTGCCCGGATTGTTCGAGCTCTCCACCATCACCTCCGTCTCCTACACCGCTCTGATTCTTCATTCTTTGTCTTGGGAGCCACAGGCAATGTCTACATTGTGTCTCTATCCTCTACCCCCTCATGCACTTGCCCCGATCGTATTACGCCTTGCAAACACATGTTATTTGTTTACATTCGAGCTCTGGGTGTGTCACTAGATGATGCATGTCTTTGGCGGAGAACGCTTCGACCGTGTCAATTGAATCGTTTGCTTACTGCACCTGTTATGGCGGAATCGCTTGCTGAAATTAGTCTACGTAGAGTATTTCATCAACAATTCTTTCAGGTAAAAGAAAGGACTTGTGTACCTATTGTAGATATTGAAGATGGGGCTGCATGTCCTGTTTGTTTGGATGATCTAAAGGACGATCGAGTTGTGGCTTGTACGACATGTCGAAATCTCGTTCATGACGATTGTTTCTCGAGGTGGAAACGAAGCAAGGGAAGGAGAAATATTAGCTGCGTAGTTTGTAGGGCAAGATGGAAGGACACGACAAACGAACAAAAGTATTTGAATTTGTCTGCCTATCTCGATGAACACGACGCAGTAGACAACAATCGCTATAATAGATAGCTAAATAGACACCCTAAGATGTCTCATAATGAAACTTTAAAAGTTAAAAAATACAATTAGCGTTATTTGTTGAAAAAAATACGATAAACTTTCAAAAATATTTTTAAAATATCCTTAAACTTTAAAAAATTTCATTAAATTTATTTTTTTAAATATATTTAAATTTTTAATATTTATAAAAAAAATTAAATTATTTTTACTGTCTATATATGGACAAAAATTGTCTACCGACATCTTATAGATTACATTCAAACTTATAGTTAAATTTTTTAAAATTTAAAGGTATTTTTTAAATATATTAATTTTTTCATCCATATTTTAGGAATATATTAAAAAAAAAATCGATATTTTCCTAAACGATTGAATAGTAAGCAATAGCCTTGTTTCTGGACATATCCTCGCCGTTTCCTTCTTCAATCAATTTGTGGAGTTCAATAATTAATTGAATGAAGATTCAATGGAGTTGCAGAAGTGAATTTGAGCTATAGTAATCAGTTTTTTCGATCTTAGCCAAAGGCGCAGCAGCTTTCATCAATCTCACACTGACAAATTTGATCCGTTGCGCACTCCTAAGTCTGAATTCCTACTGTTTCCCTGCTTTCGTGGCCGAAGTTTTGTGCTAGGATACGCAATGGAGGATTCCGGGACCGGAACTCGACCTTCTTCCGGTAAGGTATCGGCTAAAGTCGTCGCTATTGCTGCTGGTGAAGCTCACACTCTCGCTCTTACAGGTAGGGAGATTTTATGATTTGTGCATTTCTCTATTGTTTTTCAGTTGATATAGAATCGGAAGTTGTGACAGAGTTCTGTGTTGTGGATTGCAGGAGATGGGAGAGTGTATTCATGGGGAAGAGGAATATTTGGGCGGCTTGGGACGGGGACGGAAGCGGACGAGATTTTACCTGTACGAGTTAAGCTTGGTTCTGAGGAAGTGAATCTCAAAGTTGTGGCGATTGCTGCTGGTTCTTATCATAGCCTCGCTCTTGCTGGTTAGTGTGCTTGTATGTCTTTTTGGATTGCAAATTTTGCATTCGATCTTCAGATAGAGCTTGTTTTGCTTCAACAGCTGCGAAATTGTTTGGGTAAATGGAAACGATGATCATTTATTGCTTGTGGTACATGAATTCTAAATCTAAAACATGAGCATCACAGGATTCATGCTCTTTCAATATCTGATCATTTTTAGTTCCTTGACGACGAAAAGGTTCTGAAACAGTTTGATTTTTCATTCATTTTAATGGTTTAGAGAGATTTGTTTCATGAAAGTCCCACATCGGCTAATTTAGGGAATGTTCATGGGTTTATAAACAAGGAATACTCTCTCCATTGGTATGAGGCCTTATCGGCTAATTTAGGAAATGTTCATGGGTTTATAAACAAGGAATACTCTCTCCATTGGTATGAGGCCTTTTGGGGAAGCCCAAAGCAAAGCCATGAGAGCTTATGCTCAAAGTGGACAATATCATACCATTGTGGAGAGTCGTGTTCATTTAACAAGGTATCAGAGCCATGCCCTAAACTTAGTTGTACCAATAGATTGGTAAATCCTCAAATGTTGAACAAAGGACTCCAGAAGAAAATGAGTCAAGCCTCCTCGAAAGCAGTAAAAAATGACTAAGACTCCAAAGGAGTCGAGCCTCTCGATTAAGGGAAGGCGTACTTTGTTTGAGGGGAGGTGTTGGATGATGAAAGTTGTAAGTAGTTAGAACGTTCCCAATTGATTGAGAAAATAAGCATTGTAATTAGAAACTGAGACAAAATTTGAAGAACTTATAGAGTGGGTAGCTGTAGAACTCAATGCAGCAGCTAGAAATACCTTTGTTGACCTATCTTGCGTTAGAAACCACGACTCTTCACAATAATATGATATTGTCCACTTTGAGCATAAGCTTTCATGGCTTTGCTTTTGGTTTCTCCAAAAGGCCTCGTACCAATAGTATGATTATCGTATTGCCAATCTGAGCACTTGAATTTGATGCACAGTCATATCATATAAGAAAGGGGTTTCTAAGTTTTTTTTTTGGTTAAATATCATACAGAAATTAATGGCATAAACCCGAACAATTTCTTATGAAAGTTGAGGAACCAAAACAAGATATTTAGAGAAATCAAAATAAAAGATCAGTGATTTTGAAGAAAGTAGGCTGAAAGCGTTATGTTCTAGTGCTACTGTACTGATTTATAAATGGGGGTCTAGTTGTGCTCACGCTCTATTTATTCGCAGATGATGGTTCAGTTTGGAGCTGGGGTTACAACATCTGTATCCTTTGAAATGGGTTCAAACGGATTGTTCTCATGCATTTATTTAGTGCATAAATTATCAAGTGTGCTCATTTTTCCTCTTACAGTTTTATCCTCTCTACATCCTTGACTATCACAAAGATGGCCAACTTGGATTTGATGGAGGAAATTCCGCTACCCCGTGCTTGCTGAAGCAGTTTCTTGAGTTGGAATCTCCAGATTCTTCGACAGACGAGTCAGGCTCGAAGAATAAGAGGTCAAAAACGGTCTGTCATGAGTTTTCTCATTGTTTTGATGAATAGAATCCGAATTGTGCTTGTTTGTTTGTTTTCTTCCTTTTAAGTTTTCCATTGCATCTATATCAGATTTGTGACGTCAAAGCCGGGGGGTTGGTCTCACTTGCAATCGACGATCTCGGAGCCCTATGGATGTGGGGTAATTGTCCAAAGCCAAACGGTGAGGACGAAGTTGGCTTATCTTATGTTAGCAGCTTCACTCCCTCTCCAGTGTCGGAGCTCCATGGCCATACTGTTGTTAAGGTTGCTTGTGGTAATGAGCATGTGGTGGCCCTGGTTAGTGTTGGGGCAACCTACAATAAAGATGAAGATTTAGTTTGCTACTCATGGGGAAATAATTCTCATGGCCAATTAGGCACGGGAGATAGAGATGGCAGGGCACGTCCCCAACTTATCGAGACATTTAACGAGGCATCCCCTTGGGCAGTTTATGAGGTAGCGTGCGGGGCATTCCATACTGCTTTACTTAGCCGCAGAAAGGGACCAAGTGACACTTTAGAAAGTGTATGTTGGACATTTGGTATAGGGGAAAATGGGCAGCTTGGACATGGAACTACCCAAAATGAATTGCTTCCTAAGCCTGTAAAAGAATTGCCGCAATCTGTATCTCTGATCTCAGTTGCTTGTGGCCTTTTTCACACGAGCGTTGTTTCATCAGCTGGAGATGTATGGTCCTGGGGAATGGAAAGGGGACTTGGACTTTGCCCTGATGCTAGTTTCACTGGGACCGACACAGGCGATGCGATTTCTCCCCTATCCATCTTTTGTAATGGGTCTCAATCTCCAAAATTCTTGGATCCTGTTCAGGTTGCTTGTGGGGCTGCTCATACCATCATTGTTGCACATAATGGATATAAGCTATGGTCATGGGGACGAGGAAGAAGCGGGGTTCTTGGAAATGGTAAGACAGTCGATTGTTATACTCCCACCGTCGTGTCGTGGCCTCCACCCGGCGAGGATTTCATTCAAGAGGAAATAGAAACCAAAAACACGGAAGATAAAGTCGAAGAAGATAGTACCGAGGACGTAACCGAAGAAAACAAAAAATTGCTTATGGCTATGGAGGAAATCAAAGTTCTGCTAGAGAAACTGTCTGTTATGGAACGGTATGCAAGCTTTCTTCATGGCTCCATATTTGGAAAACCTTTCCAAGAAGGAGATATCCCACTCTCATTGCGAAATTCTGGTATGTTCGACATTGCCAAGGAATGGGAAAGCCTTTTCGAGTCGATAGATCGCAAAGATCTACTAAGGATGGAGGCAGTCTACCAACACATGCTGGCAACTATCAAGGACAAGATCATGAAGAAAAGGGTCCAGGAGCTTGTGAACGAGTTTCTCCAATCTTCAACGTCTAAAAATTAGTGTTATAAGCCGAGAGGAGCCATCAGGTATGCAAAATCTGAACATCTTTCAAATTATTCTGCTTTTCAAGATAGATAATGTGTATCAACCTGCAAGAATTTGCCCGTCATGATTATCATTACCATTGTACAATAAATTGCGACTTTGTTTAGCTGTAGCCCTGAATAATAGCCTAGCCTGCCCTTTTGTAGTATGATTGTGAAACTCTCTAGAAGATATATGTGTCGGACTGTCGATTTTGTTCGTGATCGTAACGACAAACGTTGTCTTTCTTTGGTTTCTGTTTGGGATGCTTGAAATGTTTAATGTAAATTTATGTTCTTTTGAAGATTTGGAAGAAGAATTGGAAGATTTGATATAGATGATTGTAACTTTGAAGGTAAAGAAGAGAAGGTTTGAAGTGGTTATGGAAGATTCCTTACTTTGGAAGGAAAAGTATTATGGGGTGGCATGGAATCTCTATCCTATCCGTCGGTACGGATTAATAAAAGGCAACTAATCAAAGTGAGACCAGCTCGACTCGGATATCGAAGAAAAGTGGATTTGTGTGTAACCAACTCCAGCTCCGGAAATCCATAGATGAATTTTTAAGAGTAAAACGTAATCAAATGATTTCATGCCGTCCATGCCAATGATAGAGTACGACATATGAGCTCAGACCCTTATGTGAGCTTACCTGCTCTAGCCTCCCCGCACGTGCCGATGTCCGCCTCGCTACTCTATTTTCTTTCAGGCATATCCTCTCTGTTGGAGAGGATTAATGAAAGGGTTCGAGGAAATGGATTCAAGGCATAGAAATGTCACTATTTGAGTTGTCCTATCTGTTGGTAAAGATTAATAAAAGAGTTCGAGGAAATGAATTCAAGGCACAGAGACATCTTATTTGAGTTGTCTTATCTATCGGTACGAATTAATAAAAGGGTTCAAAGAAATGAATTTAAGGCATAGAGACATCTTATTTGAGCTGTCCTATTCGTTGGTAAGGATTAATAAACGGGTTAGAGGAAATGGATTCAAGGCATAGAGACATCTTATTTGAGTTGTCCTATCTATCGGTAAGGATTAATAAAACGCTTTGAGGAAATGATTCAAGCCAATAGAGACATCATGTCTCAAATTATGTATATG